GAGAGAGAGAGAGAGAGAGAGAGAGAGAGAGAGAGAGAGAGAGAGAGCACGTGTACGCACAAGAGCGCCAGTCAGACACTTGCTGGGTACCACCACCATGAATTCCCACATCCTGCCCTCTCCCTAGTCCTCCTTTCTCTTCCCACTCAGTGTTACCCACAGTCCCTTAAGAGTCAGAAAAACAAGAGTGCCTGCATTCCAACCCCCTCACTCTAACAACCTGGGTTTGAGAAAAACAGGAATTTAGGAGTTTAGGAATAACAATTCACTTTATGGAAGGATTCCGGACTTTGTATTGAGGGTTTCCCCAGCTCTCACACCCCCTGCTGTCTTCTTTACAGTTGAATGTGAGCCTAGGTATGTACATACACACAGAGCAAGTAGGGGCACCCCTTAGCCTAACAGTTCATTGTAACACAAACTGCATGCATCACAAAAAGAACTGGGGTCAATAATTCACTTTACATGAAAATGACCACTTTACAAATGAGTTTTTCTCAGCCCCAGCCAGATTTCATGGGATGCCAACACACGCCCAAATATAAAAATGAAGACAGCAAAGGCTCCCCCAACTCCAACAATCTGGATTTTACAAGAGAGAGAATTTGGGTGGATGATCCATTTTATAGGAGCATTCTTTTCTTAGCCAGAGAGCCTGCCCAGCCCTCTCCTGTTTTGTGGAGAGATCAAAACACACACATCCCCAATACCCACAGGTACACAAAATGAGAAGCCATGTACACCCCTCCTTTTCAACTATGTTCACTACTGTGATGATCTAGGTTGTTATAAAGGAATTAGAAAGAAGATGGTAACACCAGGTGCAGAGGCTCGTGCCTGTAATCCCAGCAGTTTGGGAGGCCGAGGCGAGAGGACTGCCTGAGCCCAGGGGTTGGGGACCAGCCTGGGCAACTTGGTGAGACCTCGTCTCTACAATAAATCAAAAAATTAGGCATGTGTGGTGGTGTGCACCTGTACTTCCAGCTACTTGGAAGGCTGAGCCAGAAGGATCGCCTGAGTCCAGCAGGTTGAGGCTGCTGTGGCCGTAAGCATGCCACTACCCTCTAGCCTGGGAGACAGAGTGAGACTCCGATTCCAAAAAATAGAAAAAGAAAGAAGTTGGTGAATCAATATACAAAGAGGCTCCTGCTTAGTCCTCAACGCTGAGTACAAGGAGCCTAGCGTGCAGGGGATACTGATACACACGTGGATGAATATGCACCCTTGAATTTAGTCAAAGATCTAGAATCCTGAGAGACTGTGGGTGACTTCCCTGGACAAGCATTCTCTCCCCTCCCCAAGAATCCTTCTTCTTCTCTTCACCCTCAGATGGGGCCCTAAAACCACCCAGGAAGTTGGGAAGAGGAAGCTCCGGGAGCTGCTGTGCTCAGCACAACCCCAGGCACAAAGGAGGCAAAGCCCCCTCCCATGCTCATACACCATTGCACAGAAGTTGGAAGACATGGGACTGGGGTGGGCAAGGAGGGCTAGGGCTCCAAAACCTGCTGATGAAGTGAGGAAAAGAAGATACCAGAGGGGACCCACCCAGGCAGGGATGGTGCAGTCAGTACTCACTCCAGCTCTAGGGACAGATTCAAGATTATCCTCAGAAGCTGAGAGAAAAGAAGATATAAAGAAGAGGGGTATGTGGTAGTGAGTGGAACAGGCAGGCTGAGAGGCTAGAGCGAGTGGCAGCGTGAACAAGACCTTCCTTTGGGTTCCCAAACACAGTCTCTCTACAGCCAGTCAGGCTCCTCCAAATCTGACCCAGGCCCCCTCAATGCACTCTCACAACTCCTTTAAGCCTCAGTCCGGCAGGCCACTGCCGGATTCCTTAGGTGCCCCCGCAAAGCGGGCGCCCCGAGTCCTACAAGCCTAGGCCAAGGGCCTCCAATCCCAGTCCGAAGCCCCCGCTGCCCCCCAGGTTAGGCCCCCGGGAACCCCAGTCGGCACTCCCGGCCCCAGGCCGTCCCGCACCTGAGCAGCTGGGCTGAATCGGACGGCCTGCGCTCCTCCAACAGCACGAACACGGCTCGAGGGCCCTCCGCGCTGGCCTCTGCGCCGTCCCGAGCTGGCTCGGCCGCATGAGACATGACGCCCGGCCCCGGGCGAGCCCTGCCAGGCCGGTCGGGCCTCGGCCCGGTCCCCCTAACAAAATAAGAGTCCCCTCCCCCCGCTCGCCACCGCCTCCTCCTCCGCTAAGCCATGGAGCTAGCACTGCGCGGGCGGGCGGCGTCGGGGAGATGGGATGGGCCGTGAGTCATCCCCCGCCCTGAACGGACCGACGCCCCCCCCAACCTAACCCCGGACGACCGCCCTCCTCCCCGTCGTCCTCTTCCCCCTCCTCCCAGGGCTGGGGAAACTCCACAGGAAGTGACCGCACTGGGGATGGACGGCCCCTCTGGCCACGACCCCTCAGTGAGACGGCCAATCGCTGAGGGGCGATTTGAGGGCCCGCCCTAAGCGACGCCTCCAACGCCAAGGAAAAACCAGATTCGGCCCGCCCTCTTTCCGAGAAGGAGGCACCTACGCCACACCCTCAGCGGCAGCGACAAATAGACGAGGAGTAACTTGGTAGAGGCACGCCTCCATGTTTGCGTCGCTTTCTAAGCCACGCCCCTCTCTCAAATTATCCCTCCGCAAGATAACATTAAGCCGCTCCTTAGGTCTTCTGCGCCTGCGCACTGATGGCCAGTCGGCGCGCAGTGTCGCCCGGCCAAGCTTTTAGCTGCGGAACCGCGCCCCCTCTCGGCCAATATTCGTAATGTCTGCGTCCTAGACCGCGCTCCAACCTCAATCTAGCTGTGGCCCCTCAGCCAAAGCCAGAACTACGAGACAGAGGCTGCTAAGTTCCCTGGAGGTGCGGGCCAGAAACCCCGCCCTTTCGGCAGCCACAGTCCAGCCGCCCAGCTGGTCTTCCCGGTAGTGCTCCGCCTGTTCTGTGCCACCTAGAACGGTTGTCGTACTATATCGTTGTGCTATGCAATATATGCTTCATAAATCCTTGACAGGTGAATGGATGAGCGGACGGATAGAAATTACATATGGTCTGTTCGGTGAATGATGACTTCTGGCATCATAAAGATCCAGGTTTGAAAATGTCAGAGAGGCGGGGCGCGGTGGCTCACACCTGTAATCCCAGCACTTTGGGAGGTCGAGGCGAGAGGATTGCCTGAGCCCAGGGGTTCGAGACCAGCCTTGGCAACTTGGCGATAACTCGTCTCTACAATGAATCAAAAAATTAGCCGGGCGTGGTGGCGCGTGCCTGTAGTTCCAGCTACTTGGAAGGCTGAGGCAGAAGGATCACCTGAGTCCAGCAGGTTGAGGCTGCGGTGGTCATGAGCGTGTCACTGCACTCCAACCTGGGCGACAGAGTGAAACTCCAACTCATTAAATAAATAAATAAATAAATAAATAAATAAATAAATAAATAAATAACTTAGCTGGGTGTGGTGGCACACGCCTATAGTCCCAGCTTCTCGAGAGGCTGAGGAAGGTGGATCCCTTCAACCCAGTAGTTCAAGGCCGCAGTGAACTGTGATCATGCCACTGCACTCTAGTCTGAGCAACTGAGAGAGACCTCAACTGAAACAAAAAATAATACTATAAAAATATTAGAACAAAATGTTTTTCGAGTATATGTTTAAGGCTTTGGGAAGTAAAAAAGCAGCAAGATACAAAGAGCAAAAGTTATAAGGAAAAATCACAATGACCAACATTTATTGGTTGTTCTTGGCACTTTATCTGCTTTAATTCATTTTAGACCTCACAACAGACCTCTGAGGAGAGTTCTACTTATTATCCCAACCTGTAGATCAGAGTCAATGTACAGCAAGGTTAAGTCATTTGTCCTAGGTCACCCCGGTTCATAAAAACTTGGATTTGAAACTAGGTACTCTTCACCACTGTACTCCACAGTCTGTCCATTCCACATCAAAATATAAAATGGCATACATTCCTTTTTTAAATTTTATTTTAAAGATGTGGGGTACAATTCAGGGTTA